GGACCAGGGCATTTTGTTACTAATTTGAAGGCTGGGTTCACAGACTCAAAAAAAAAACTCTCCCAGCAGGACTATGGCTTTGTCTTTTTATGTTAGAAATTGTTCTTAGTATATAATTGCTTTCTCTGGTCTTTGGAGGTGCACCTGTGGTTCTCTCCTGCAAATCAGGTTTTTCATGAATTTGGCCAATATTGTTAGTGTAGGCTGGGGCCAAAATGCTGTGGAAAACCTTTTTAGACTTGGAGTCAGGGAAGCAAAGTAAGAGGAAAAAAAATAATAAGCCAGTGGCTTAGAGAAATGTAAAAACTGAAGACCCTTCATAATATTCTTTTAAAAGAAGCCTTTCTTTGAAAGCTTTGAGGACATATTTGGTTGGAATTAAGTGTCTTGCTAACAGTGAGGATCTGTTCACTTTGTTTTTGGAATGCCCAGCTCCACTCTGCCATTGAGCCTGGGCGTTGCTGGTGATACTGGGCCTTGCTAGCAGGAATTGTGGAGAGAGGGAAGTAAATCACAAGTGCCCATGTGGTGTCATTGCCTTGTCAATCAGAAGAACAGAACTAGCTGGGCACAAGGCATTTGTGTTTTGTGTTAGGATGTGCGGGTAGGGGGAGAGGTTGTGAGGGCCTGTGGGTGTTATCAAATTCTTTGAAATGGAATTATGGGTAAGAACAAAATAAAGAGTAGAGTAGAAACCTTGGAGCCCTCTGTGAGGAACAAAACACTCCAGGGGACTAGAAAAATACATGGTAGTGATCAGCTTTCCATTTGTTTATTCTGATTTGTAAGAATTTCTCTATGCAACTGACTTATTCTTTTTCCTCTAATTTGCTTCCCCTGCTTATTCAAGAATGGATTTGTGAGAAGATCTCTGTGGTGGTGTGTGAGGGGACAGTGTGAAAGTCATATAGTCATGACTAAAATAACTGAGTCCTTTCTTTTTGTGTTTGAAAATCTCATAATTTCCCCCCAGTTTATCCTTGGTGAACCCAACAAGCCTTAGGTACTCCTGTGAACACTTAAGTTTTATGTTTTGCTTCTGTTTTCATTCATTTAGACTTGGACTTGCCATTTCTCTTCTCTGTTCTGTGGACCATGGACTGAGTTGTTTCCATTGTGTGATCATTTAGGGGGCAGCTTGGCAGGCTGTTGCCTTGTTAAGTGGTGGGGCACTTCCTTGCCTGGAGATAATTTGTTGCTTTTCTGTCTGTCTCTTGCATTTTATGCAAATGGAAGTATCTTGTATATATGCTCTGAGCATAGAAATAGGTATTTAAACATTGTTTAAATAGGTATTTAAATATTTGGCTGGATGGGGCCAGATGGAAGGCAGAGAGCTGCAGTGTGCACCCAGCATTACTGGCAGGGCCCTGGAACACCTCCCTGGGGAGCAGAGAGGAACAGGTGGAAGCCAGCCACAGCTGCATGGCGGCACCATCCAGCCAAATCTCTTACTTTGTATTCCCATCAAGATGAAGTGTGGTTTACCTCTGGTTAAACTCTTAGGGATTACAAAACAGGCCTTAGATTTTAGCAAGCTGGTGGCCTAGGGAAAAGGACAGCTTTCCTTAGGGAAGAGAGTCCGTGGCTGGGTTCACACTGGAACTTATTCACTTTATTAGGGCTTCCATTTGTCCCCATGATTAATGGTAGTGTTGGATGGTTGAATCAAGGCCTTACAGGTGTGGGATATTCACATGTTCCCTCAGAATGCTTTCTAAGGAGTGGTTGTACTTAAAGTTGATTTTCTTATATGTACAGTTCTCCCACATTCACTTTCCCCCATACTCCTGGCAGTCTGCACTAACCACTGAAAATCTATCATCTAGTAGAAAAAAAAAGATTCAGGCAGCTTACTCAAACTTGCCTATAAAGATTTCAAAAGCGAATACAATGGTCTCCTTGTGGCCAATGGGCTTGATTTCTCTGGGAGTACAATTCCATACTAAACAATGTTTTGCAACTCTGTGTGAGTCCCGTACTCCTATCCTATTAAAGCTTCGTGGGTCTAGGTCTGGGGCTGCGTCCACTGTCTAACCACTCTTGCAGAACTGGCCGCTTCACTCCCTGCACTGGATTTTCCACCTGTCCTGGGAGCTGCCTAGCAGGCTGGCACCTGGCCTTGTCAACCTGAGGTCCGCTATTTACACAGACAACCCACAGAAGGCTGGGGTTGTGAGTGCTGGATGTGTTGATGGTATTGAGACATTCTTTGGTATTAGGGACAAATGACTGGGAATGCCTGAACTTCGTACCAGATCCCAACTATTTTCTCATGCTAAGTCCTCCCCTTTCCACTCCCAGGACACTGCTCCCTGCCACCCAAGAAACAATGAGAAACAGGAACAGGAACAGCACTAAATGACATTTGAGTCTCAAACCTCAGTGCTAAAAACTTTGGTTAGGTGGGTTGGATTGTGGAACATGAATAGCCCCAAAGCAGGTCTTGTGTTACTATTTACTGTACCAGGCCTACTGGAAGGACACAGCGAGCCTGAAGGGACCTAGGGCAGGCCCTGAGGCTGGTTCACTCCTTCTGCCTCTTTGGCTGATTTGAAAGAGAGCAGTTTCCATCCTCATGCTCACCTGTGAGGTGGCCTGAACTGTGCCCTGTGGGGAGGGCTTCCGGCGCTCACTGAGGGGCCCAGGGGAGGCAGAGAAGGCAGAGAGCTGCAGTGTGCACCCAGCTTTACTGGCAGGGCCCTGGAACGCCTCCCTGGGGAGAAGAGAGGGACAGGTGGAAGCCAGCACAGTACCTCTCTGCCCTTAGATGCTTATACTCACCTCAGGTGAGTTAATGCCTTATTCATGCAACCTGTAATTTTGAAGAACCGTTAAAGAACATGTTACATTTAAGAGATAGCCTAAGTAGTAGTATCAGTTTGAGAGAAAGCCACCGCTTTCCCCTCTGCACTAGTAGGTACAGCATCTTAGAAATAAAGTTGAGGTGGATGTTAGCATTCCTTCCCTGTCCTTTCACCTGTCCATAATTGGGCAGTTACGTCATGACAGTGTCCTCGGGGTGATCTTAGTTTTATTATAGAAGAATCTGTTTCCTTCCTCAGGTTAAGCTATTGGGCTTTGGGCTTTGTACTTTTATTTGCTTAGGATCTGAATAATTGTCTCATAAAACAGCATGATGGTACTATTAACACTGCATTATAAGACCTGTTATTACAGAATGTGCTTCCCTGTTTGGGACAAGACTTTGTTTTTCATGGGGCTTAAAAAGTGTTTCTCTAGGTGGGGTTATAATCAATAGTGTAAAATTTTACCTATTTCAAGTAAAAAGTTGATAATCTCTTGGGTGGGTTTTATGTATCTTTTTTTTTGTTTGTTTGTTAAGTCATATAGACATAGATCATGAATACATTTATGCATATGTGGGGTACAGTGTGTCTATTTTTTTTTTTTTTTTTTTTTTTTAGACAGAGCCTCAAGCTGTCCCCCTGGGTAGAGTGCCGTGGCATTACAGCTCACAGCAACCTCCAACTCCTGGGCTCAAGCGAGTCTCCTGCCTCCGCCTCCCAAGTAGCTGGGACCACGGGCGCCCGCCACAACACCCGGCTATTTTTTGGTTGCAGCCATCATTGTTGTTTGGCGGGTCCGGGCTGGGGATTCGAACCCGCCACCTTAGGTGTACGTGGCTGGCGCCTTAGCCGGTTGAGCTATAGGCGCCGAGCCTATTTTTTAATACAATCTGATGTGGCTACATCAAACCAACATAGCTTTCACATCATTTACTTGATTACTGTTAAGACATTTATTATGTATCTTTTGATACTTCAAGGGAAGGGGTTTCTTTTGAGTGGATGAAGGAGAGATAGATTTAATGTTCAAAATGGAGATAAGAATGAGAAATTATTTTATTTCTGTTATAGTTGAGACAAATTGAGGCACTTATTGGAGAATTTGCCCCACTGTTTTGTCTGATTAGGATTTTGAGTATTAAAATTTCGTTGACTAAGTATCCTTGAATTTGAAATTTTGGGGGTCTTTATTATGAATGATAAAAAATTCAACTGTGAGCGATACGGCAGTTTGTTGCTGAGATCATTTAAAATTGTGTGCATGTGTTATGTGTATATATTTGTGTTAGTACATCCTCCTCTGTCCATTCTAAACTTTTTGTGCTATAGATTTTAAACATAATTGAAGAATATGCAAATATTTCTTAAGGAATTCACTGTAATTTTCAACCTACTGTGCTGAAAAGCTAAATATTGGTGGCAGGTACTATTATGGAATGAAAGTAGGTTTTGCATCATTTTGAATACATGCGTGAATTTTACTTATTTTGTGGAAATGGGAATCTGCCTGTTAGCCTGAGTACTCACAAGGTGCCATGGGCATGTCTCAGATACAGCAAAGCTCCAGATGTGCACAAGGTGATAAGGATGTTAATCTCCAGCAAGTTAATCTCAAGCTGGGAAATGATGAGGAAGAGGTAACTAGAAATGAGGAATTCATGGCAAAGTCAGAAGTTGTAACAGTTGTGGTGTCAGTTTTCTTGGACTGATTGGTTGTTGATGCTATTTTGAGCCTAGTGAAAGGGAAAACTGTAAGATTATTAGTTACAGACCACTCTCTTTAACTTATCTTCTGTCTGGTAGTCACCTTAAAGATGGTACTGGCTCACTAGGTTGTGTCTGTCACATCCATCTTCTCAAAATGTTATCTCACTTTATCTTCAGAAGGATCTTTTGGGTAAGGTTGTTAATATTATTCATACGTTTTAAAATGTATAACTAAATGACAAAGCTGAGGCCTGAGAGGTTACTCTTGGCCACTTACAGACTCCCGTCTTTTTCTCCCATTCAGGTGATTTCTTTGCCCTTGTTTTACCCCTCCTTGAGGCCTGCACAGTACAGCAGCGTTCTGTGACTGGGTAATTTGGATTTCATGAAGGTGCACTTAAATTAACAAAATGTAGTTTCATTTTGTTACAGGTGATTTTTGCGCTCCTGAGTCCTTTTTAAAAAATGGTGATTCTCTTGCAGGACCCCAGTTGAGGGAAAAGTTCTCCATGAATGTATGTCACAATGATGATGACCGACCACATCCCTCTGGAGCTGCCGCCACTGCTGAACGGGGAGGTTGCCATGATGCCTCACTTGGTGAACGGAGACGCAGCTCAACAGGTTGGTGCCACAGAGTGAAGCGCGTCCGAGGTTGGCTGAGGGAGATGCTGACCCAGTGCTTGGTTTCTTTTGGAAGTTGAAAGTCTGTGATTTTGATCTTAGTGTTTGTAGAGCTCAGTATTTTTGTTGCAGAAGCATGGTATGGTTTTTTAAAATATCAGAAGTTGTGGTTTTTGAGAACAGTAAATCTTAGCTCATCTAGCTCATTTGATTCTTGAAGCATCAAAAAATGTGTGATTTCTGAAATGCAACATTATGAGAATATGTGCAAGTTTTTGAAATAATAACTGTTTTTTCATGTTATAAGTTGGTCTTGTGAGTGGTTGACCAGAAGTATACAGAGGGTCAGGCTCTGGTTTCACATAGGAGTGGCTTCTGTAAGATGCCTAGTTGGTGTGTGTAACTCATAAAATGATGTTATCAAACATTATGGAATAGAAAAGTTATTTGTGAACTCAGTCAAGTAGTATTGTGTGGGGAAAAAATTTAAACAGTAAGACTTTTACAAATTATTAAGAGCTGACCTATTACCTGATAACATTAAGTTTTTAAAATTGATTATAAAAATTGGGTTTGCCTAGTCTTGTAATTAAATAGATATTTTGTTTTTGTGTATTTCTCATCAAAGTTTATGTTTTATGAAAGTAGAATTGGGAGCAAAAATATTTGCTCAAAGTATATTAATAATTCAAATAAGTTAATCAGTCACTTACTTGGTGTTGGTCTGTGCCGCTGCCAATCTCCTCTGTCTCCATCACAGGACATTAATACTCATGCACACCTCTGCTGGAGCTTACCTTGCTGTTTAACAATTTTTACTACTTTCTCCTCCATCTGACTGTGAACCTGTTAAGAACCAAGAGCATCTAAGAGGTGCTTAATACATGTCTGCTGGTTGAATTCATTTCATGCTTTTTCACTGCTGATGCAGAGATCTCCCTTCCTGATTCTTCAGTCTCTTTTTCTACTGGATCATTTCCACCAGCATACTATAGCATCTTCTATCTTAATCATATAAATAGCCCTGGTGCTATGGCTCACACATGGAGTTAATCCTAGCACTTTGAGAGACTGAAGCAAAAAGATCGCTTGAGGCCAGAAGTTCAAGACCAGTCTGAGCACTGTACTGAGACCCTGTCTGTACAAAACATATAGAAAAATTGTCTGGGTGTGACGGGTGCCTGTAGTCCCAGCTACCCAGGAGGCTGAGGCAGGAGGATCACTTGAGCCCAGGAGTTGGGAGGCTGCAAAGGGCTGTGATGACACCCTGGCGCTCTATCTTAGGCAGTAGACCCTGTCACACAAAAATAGGAAAAAAACCAAAACAAAATGATCCACATAAACAGCTATACCTCTCCGCACCCAGTAAAAGAACCCCCCCACTTGATTACATCCCCCTGGCATTGCCAACTCCAACTCCATTGTCTCTGTTTCCTCTTTTAGCAGCACCTCCCCAATGAAGCCTGCACCTGCCTCCCATCACAGTCGGTCAGGATGCCCTGGTGGTGGTTTACCTCAGGGAACTGTGACGAACCCTACCCTACCACAGACACTTGCCTTCCGGTAGCACTGCTGGGCCCAGGCCGCATCCCAGTGGGCTGATACTGCCCTTCTCACTGGTTTCTCTGCTCTACTTTTGCCCATCCAGAAAGGATTCTCCACACAGTGGCCCAGCTGATCTTGTCAAAATAGAAAGCCATCCTATTTGGCACCGTCTAGAACCCACGGGAGTGTGTGGCCTGCCAGCCGTCCTTAGCTACTGCCTCGCTCTGCGTCCTCCTGGCTGCTCTCCTGCTCAGCATGCTCCAGCTGGTCCTGGGAAGGCTGCAGAGCCCCAGGGACAGCTTCCAGATACAGTGTTTGGTCCCCTTGTTTTTACTAATTAAAATAGTAGAAAAAGACAAGATATTCACATGTGGCTGTGCTGGGAGAGCAACTTAGGTCTCCACCCGGGCCGGCTGCCTCACTCCCATTGCCTGCGCAACTGGGAGAACTGAGACTACCTAGGCATATTGTGTTTTGGTGATTTCTCCCTCTTTTTTTTTTGAGACAGAGCCTCAAGCTGTCCCCCTGGGTAGAGTGCCGTGGCATTACAGCTCACAGCAACCTCCAACTCCTGGGCTCAAGCGAGTCTCCTGCCTCCGCCTCCCAAGTAGCTGGGACCACAGGCGCCCGCCACAACGCCCGGCTATTTTTTGGTTGCAGCCGTCATTGTTGTTTGGCGGTCCGGGCTGGGGAGTCGAACCCGCCACCTTAGGTGTACGTGGCTGGCGCCTTAGCCGGTTGAGCTATAGGCGCCAAGCCTTCTCCCTCTTTTTTATGATTGGTTGCCTAGCATGGCCTTTTATAGTTTATTAGCTGCCATAGGGAGCACTAAGTTACAGAATTTTTCAGTTTTCTCTTCAAAAGTAAACTGCTTAGCTCATGGAAATGACCAAAGACTAAAAAGACTGTAGCTTCTTCAGATGGGCATATGGCATTTCTCTCTCAATTTTTTAACTCTCAGCTGCTTATCAATTCTGGTTAATAAAACCACATATTTATTTAATCTGGGAAACTTTCTGTAAAGCTAAGAAAGGGAAATATGTTAATTTATTTTTTAAAAACAGTCAAAATGTAAAGCTTTATCATAGTGGGGGCATACTTTAAAAAATCTCGAAGGAGGTGTTTGTCTTTTTAATTTGTAAATATATTTGATTGTGTTAGAAGCATTAACACTGTGGGACAAGCTATTGTCTGTCTTTAACCCCAGAAGGGGTTTGCAGTCTCCTAGGCAGCTGCCTGAGGCTTGGCTTCCTCTTCCTGTCTTGTACCTCTCCCGTTCTTTAAAGGCTCTGCTCTTTCCTTTGAGTCCTAATGTTTAACCTTGACCTAGGTGAGTGTGGGCAAGGCAAAAGGGAAAGACAGACTGTGGGGGCAGGCAAACCCCAGACTGACAGAAACACAGAGAGGAAGAGAGAAGGGAGCTGCAGAGGGCCGCCTACAAGAGTAGGAGTAAGGTGGGTGTAAGGAGTAAGGAGTAAGGGATGGGCCTGGCCGCATGGCATGGCCTGGGCTTCCAGGGCTTGGTGTGGAGTGTGGGGGCAGATGGGTCTGTGTGAGTGGATTGGGACACAGGACCCACAGAGACGGTGGTCTGTGCATGGCTTTTGGAGGCCTTCTCTTTGCTCTTCCACCAAGGCAGCACAGTTCATCTTAGTAAAATCCTTCTAGAGGCACAGTATTGATCTCAAGGATGGACACTGAAGGCATTTGGGGATGATGTTTTAAGGTAGCCAGTACCTGAGCCCCCTTTTAGATAACACTGTTGTACAGAGCCGTCCTGTGGCCGTGGCGTTCTGCCCGTAGACGTCTCTGTCAGGAGTGTATGCACCATGTCTTGCTGCCTCGCTGCTGTGCAGACGCAGGCTGAGCGTCCCTGTGGGTGCAGACGGCCGCCACAGTCACCAGAGAGCTCCTCTGTCCCCAAGCTCTCCTCCTCCTCACTTCTGTCCTGATGGTTTCTGGATTTAATCAGTACTAGTTGTTGGCAGGATTCTCTGCTGTCTCTCTAAGAGACAATGTTAATTTTCATTATTTGAAGTCCCGTTAAGTTTAAAACCTTGGTTCATTTCATGTGGTAGCGGGGGAAAGCACAAGGGTGAGACGGATGATTCTTTTCTTTTTCTTTTTCCTTTTATTAAGTCATCTACACATTGATCATGAATACATTTATGCATTTGTGGGGTACAATGTGTTAATTTTTTATACAGTTTGGAGTGCTTACATCAAACTAATTAATACAGCTTTCACCTCATTTACTTGATTATTGTCTTAAGATATTTATGTTCTACGCTTGAGAACTCAAATGAACTTTTAGCACATTTTAGAGAGAGATTTGACTTGTACCCTTGCAATATGCTCCATAGGTGGGTCCCACCATTTAGGATGATTCTTTTCTTAAAAAGGAAAGTCATCATCATTACGAAGGAAGCTTTAAGAAAATTTACTATCAGTTAAAAATGAGTAACAACAAACACACTGTGAACAGAAGCAATTTCCTCAACAGCTTTGCTTATTTAACAGCTTTATTGAGGTACAGTCCACACATCATACAATTCATCCATTTAGAGCGCAGCCAGTCAGGTCTAGTGTAGTCACACTTGGCTGGCGTTGCCTACCGTGAACTGTAGGAAATTTTTATCATGCTAAAAAGAAACCCTTCAGCGGCTACTCCCTATTTCTCTGTCTCCTGCTATTCCTGTGCAACTCATTTACTTTCTATCTCTGTAGCTCTTGCCTCCTGGAAGTTCATGTGAATGAATTCATGTGACATTTGTGTCCTCTGTATCTGGCCATGCACTAAGCATAGTATTTCCAAGGTTGCAGTGGGTATCAGTGCTTTCTTCTTTTTATTGCTAAATAATATTCTGCACTGGCTCTCGCCTATAATCCCAGCACTTCGGAGGCTGAGGGGGGTGGATTGCCTGAACTTACAGGTTCGAGACCAGCCTGAGCCAGAGTGAGACCTCGTCTCTAAACCTAGCTGGGCATTGTGACGGGCACCTGTAGTCCTAGCTACTCAGGAGGCTGAGGCAGGAGGATCACTTGAGCCCAAGAGTTGGACGATGCTGTGAGCTGTGATGCCACGGCATTCTACTGAGGGCAACATGGTGAGACTGTGTCTCAAAAAAACAAAAAAATTCTATTACGTGCCTACACCACATTTTATTAACGCATTCATCATCTGGTGGACATTTGATTTCTTTCCACTTTTTGCCTATTATGAACAATGCTACTGGGTACAGATTTTTGTGTGGATACATTTTTATCTCTCAAGTTTGTAATTAAGAGTGAACTGGGGCTCGGCGCCTATGGTTCAAGTGGCTAAGGCGCCAGCCACATACACCTAAGGTGTCGGGTTCGAATCCAGCCCGGGCCCGCTAAACAACAATGACGGCTGCAACCAAAAAATAGCCGGGCGTTGTGGCGGGCGCCTCTGGTCCCAGCTACTTCGGAGG